ATTGCGCCCAGTCGATCATTTTCCGTCACGACCGTGGCAACGCCGTGTTCGTGGGCCTCAAAGCCCAGCTTCGCACTTGCGCCAGCTTCTCGCGCACCATTCGTACTGCTCTACGCCGCCTCTGCATCGACGTGCCGCTGCGGGGGCGCTGGTGCACTCTCCTCACGCCCCGCGAGGCTCTGAGCACCTGCGCGAGCGATTTCGCCTCTCGCGGCGCAGCACTTCCACCAGCTGGCGCGCCTGGACACTCACTGTTCGAGAAACGGTGCAACCTCGCAGGCCATTTGACAAAAACAAACAGAAATCGACATCGCACCGTGCCGCGAGCTGAACTCGCCCGTATGTGCAGAGTCCCACATGTAAATACTGTGGCTTCGTCGCTACTGGTGGCGCCAGTCGGCCGTCGCGCCGCTATGCGAGACAGGAAACTGCTGTTGACAGCAAATGAGGAAATCGCCAAAGGACGCGCAGTGCCCACACTGCAAGCGGTTCTTCACCAAGCGCGGCTTACGTGAGCACCTTCGGCACGTCCGCTGCTCTCCGACGTCCACAGCAACGAAGCGTGTGTTCAAACGCGCTCGCTGCAAACACTGTGGAAAATCATTCCATTCTGGGAACTCCCTGCGTGTGCATGTCGCAGGCCAGCATCCTGCTGAATACGCACAATCGCCACACAGCGTTAAGGGCCACAAAGCGCCGCTGAAGCGGAAGGGTTCGCCCGAGGCAGACCAGCAACGTCCGCGCAGCGCAAGCCCACATGCTAAGCGCAAGCGCGATACTCCACAGCTGCAGAAGAATGAGCATTCGACTACAGCCTTGCGCGAAGATGCAGAGATGCAGATCGCTCGCACACGACGCGTCTGGGAGGAGGTACTGCGACGGCAACAACTGCAGAGGGGTAAAACGGGCAGGAAACATCATGCACACGGTCAGGATAGATGATGCCGCTCCAGGATACATAGTGCGCAAAAGTGTATTAATACACATCGGCCCGGCGATTGCCGCTACGGCAGGCATCGCGAGGTCTGCGAAAATCCCGCCAAGGTCGCGCACGGCATCATCTGCGAGGCAGGTCGGCACATTGACGCTCTGGCGTTTTGCTACAGAGGCAGCAGCGGTGCCTTCCGCCGCGGATATTCTCCACACCAGCGGGTGAAATTAAATCAGCGCATGCGCCCCGCATGAGAAACTCTGCCGCCCTCTACGGGCCGCAGCTGGGTTTCTCTCCTTACGAGCTTACTGCAGGCGATTTTTTTCCGAGGCCATGTGTTTTGCTGACATTTCCCCCACAGGGCGATGCGCAGTTCTTCGCCTCATCCGAGGGCCATCGAGGCAGAATTTCTAACGAGCTGGTGACAAGAGCGCAGCTCGCAAGCGGCTGTTGCAAGTTGCCAGCATTGCTGCACCGCATCCATATTTTCTGCGCGCGTTGGTGCGCTGCTGAATTTTTCCCCGAGGGCGAGGTCCTGTGCCTCATGACACACGCGCGCAATGGAGTTATTCTCAGGGGCCTCCGCTGGATGTATGAATAATTTTGAACCTCGCCCGAAGGCATTCGTGGGGTTTTCTCTCGCTGAGCCCGCAGCATCCCGATAATCTCCCTGCTGGCGGGTGTTTGGCGTTCGGTACGGACCAAGTCTGCAGCTTTTTTAAACTACCGAGGGATGGTCGCAAGTCCAACGGCGCAAAACATGCATCCTACTGCCGTGGCGGCATTCGCCGGGCCGAATGTATTATAGCATCTGGATCCATTATCGATCCTGCGCGGGAGCATGTCCTGACCACGTCAGTCTTTCAAGACCTGTAAGCGACTGGGCGCACGCGCTCGGCGATAACCTTAACGTCTGACTCCGCTGGCTCCCCCGCGTCAATGGCAAGCACCAGAACGTCGGGCGGTGGCAGCGGCTGCGGGAGCGCCTCGCTACCTTCGTCTGCGAGGACTAGCCAACGACCCTTCAGCCGAGACACGTCGAAGCCGCTCCGCGGCGCGCCAAGCGGTGAGCGAACGGAGCGGTAAATGACAATGTCGTCCTCGCGGGCAAGGCTTGACGCGGCCCACGCGCGCAAACGACTCAGCTCGGCATCGTCGAGCCACGGCAGCGTGGCGTGGAATGCCTTCGAAGTGTGCATTCGTCCTCCCTGTCTGTTCGTTCGAATCTCGTGTGAACCTACTCGGGCACGCGCAGCCCGTGCTTCTCCCGCAACTTGCGAGCCAGCGCGGCTGTGCCAGCGCCCCAGCCTTTCTGGAAACACATCGGAAGAGTAGCGCACTGCATCCCGTGCGGGGGCTCCGAGCTCTTGAACCAGAGCTGAGGGTCGATGAGCTTCTCGCACGGGCCGCTATGCATTCGCACGAAGGCTTCGACGTTCTCAACCGGCTGGTGCAGCGCGGCCCCAAAGCCACGCTGGATGCACTCGCTGGGTCGCCCCACGCGCTCCGAACCATCTAGTAGCCCGCTAGCCTTTTTGCTGTTGCCGCAATACGGTTTTGCTTTGCGCGGTCGAGCTTTCCCGTGTTGCAAGCTACTCCCACGAGGGGCGACATGCTCAAGCGCTCCACTCTGTGGCACTGCTCGAGGCTCACGCGCTCGCCGTCGCGGCTTCGACTGTTGCGTGTGACGTGGCACCACTGTCGGAGGTGGGATTGGTCAGCTTGCGCCGAAGTTCGTCTCGCGCGGTCTCTTCTGGGCTACGCGCGTCGTGATGCGCACTGCTGCGCTCGTCCGTTCGGTGTGCAGCTGCCGACCGACTGGCCCTATGCGCGCTGGGGCTGGTTTTGGCCGCGCTATCCGCAGCGTGGGCGGTCGCCAGTGGTACACGCATACGAGGAGATGACGGGCTGTACAGCAGCCCGGTGCTCTGACTCCCAGCACCAGAGGCGCGCGCGGTAGGCGCATTTGTACTCCCTCTGGTCGATGTCGTCCCAGCAGGCAGCCCTGTTGCAGAGCGCACAGCGCTCGCGGCCTGTTTCGCTGGGTGCTGACCGAGCGCGTCAGACCAACTCACGCTCATATCCGTTTATTATCAGTGAGAGGTGCGCCAGACATGGGATGCACTTCGCGAGGCGATGCGCTAGTGGGCGGGCTGTGCAAACGGGGCAGGTTCGCGCTGAGCAACTGCCGATTCTCGCAACATCAGTTGCCGGTACATTTCTCGCGACCGCGCGTCGAAGCCTGGCGCCAGTGCATGCAGAACAACACCCCCTTCTACACAGGGCCACAGAGGAGCTGTCGCTCGCTCCTCCATCTGCGGCGGGTCCACGCGTACGCGGGATGTGCACGGCGCCATGGTTTTGTCGCATGCGGAACTCGCTGCGGCCTTGTAATAATCCTCCTCGGTGCACAGCTCGAGCCAACCCTTGCCTAAGTCACCCATGCGAAGGCCCCACCACCCTTGCCTAAGTCACCCATGCGAAGGCTGTGCGGATTAGACTTTGCATAGCGCGCACTGTCTTGGCGTCTTTCCGGTCCAGGTACAGCGCGATTCTGCCATCAACGTCTCTCACTACGCAGTGCGCCTGGCAGCTGCTGCTGGCCCACTGGACCAGCCGTGACTCTAAGTCTGGCGCCGCTGCGCCTATTCTTGCAATGAAGAAGTGGGAGGTGGGCTCCGTCATCCGTCGACCGTTTTAACAGTAGCGTTGAACACATCAATCGCGCTTCGACCTTCCGCTAACGCGCGGCCGCCTCCCTGGATGTTTTCATCTGATGGCAGGATCGATGGACAGGCTGAAGATTCGAGATGTCGTTGAGTCTCGCGACATCGGCGGCGTTTCGCGCAGAACTCAAAGGAACGATGTGGTCGACCTCCCACAGATCAGTCGCTGTGAAAGGCAGGCCGCAGATGGCGCACCTAAAATTGTAGCGCGCCGCCACGCGCTTCTGCATGAGTGGCGTCACCCTTTTGCGGATGCCTGATGTCCTTAGGGGAAGCGTGGGTCTCGGCGCCGTCCGGAAGCTGCGAAGCTGCGCGGACGCAGAGACACTGTCTCTAAACGAGCCCTCGGCGCGCCCAGCATGGCCAGGCTTGTCTTCTTCGCGGCGATACGTCGCCGACTGTTCATAGTCATCCGCACGACTCAGCACGCCAACGGAAGAGTCGAAGGCTTGCAGCGCCGACTTGTGCAGACCCGAGTCAGGTGTTACGAAGGAGCAACAGAAGGCGATGGCAAGGAGGATTACCAGCCACCACAGCATTTATTTCTTCTTCGGGCGACGTGGGCGACTCCTTCTCTCGTGGCTCGGCGTAGGACTCCGCTTGGCTGTGCGCCGTTCCTCGCCATGGAACCACGCGTTCAGCCCTACCTTGGCGACGTCAGGGCAAGTTACTTCTTCTCCACTGTGCTCAGTGCGCGCGTCTCGCGTGCCGATGTCATCGTAGTTATTCCACATGACTGCGCTCCCAGCGCGCGGGTACACGTGCAGGCTCTTCCCATCGCTTCCGCGCAACCTGTCGAAGCAAGTCGCGCCGCCACACCTCCCCGCGGGCAGCTTTCCGTCTGCTTGTAAATATGCGAAGATGGTCTTCAGTCGGCGCTTGTAACCTCTGCCACCACCGTCTCTGGGTACGTCGTGGTGCGTTTTGTAGCGCTCCCCGCGGGCATAGCTCGTTGCTTGCAGCGGCTCGAGGCTCGTCGCCGGCATCCCAGCAATCGTCGCGAGTCTTCTTTCAATCCACTGAACGACTGGATCGTCCTCCGGGAGGTCCGCGGTCCGTGACGTGCGCAGCGAGCGGGCTTCGCCGCGCCCCTCAATTTCAGAGGCCTCGAAGCCCGCGCCGTGTGCAGTCTTCACAAGGTACGCGCATTCGGCAGGGGTCAGCAGTTCGTCGACTTGCGTTACAATGGGGGGCTTTGTTGTAAGCTGCCTGAGAATCGGATACACGGGCCGGTCGCCCTGCACACATGGTTGCATATCCTGCAGCGCGCACTACCCCTTTTTGCATACGCGCAGCCATTTCGACTAGTACACCCTAGTGGTTTTACGTAGGAGCCGAGAGCCATGGCGCTCGCAGTCTTTGGGCGCGGGCTTTTCCTGGAGCCTCTTGCGGAGCTGTTGCCCGCGGTTGATCTCGCGCGGTTCAGTTCAGCGAGCACTCGTTTCTACGCTCAAGCCGCAGCACGCGCGCGGGCTGGCATTCGAGCGCAGCATGGCCTCATGATCTTAGATGGGGGAACGATGGCAGAAATGCACACGATGGACTGCATGCCCGAGACGCTGAACTTCGACCTGCGCGAGGAGCGCTGGAGGAGAGTGCTAAGCGGCAATCCTTTGTGCACGACCTATGTTGGATCTTACAAGAATAAGGTGACGCTGGCGCAAATGGATTTCAACCTGCGACGCGGCGCCTACCTTATGACTCTCGAGGGGTGGGGCAACCTGGCACACGGTATCTTGGACCTCTTCCTGGACGGACGGCGCATCGGCTCCGTCGACTGGTTCGACGACTACACGCGTGAGCGCAGTCGCTCCATCGACTTCGACGTGCGGTGGACGGGCGTGCACCAACTGGTGGGGAGGTGCAGCCAGAGCAACGCCGACGAAGACCGGCTGACGCGACACTGGATCTGTCTGAGCGGCGTGCACCTTCGTGGGATTGCGGGCACATGGCGACTATATTCTTGGATTTGACGCGCCAGTAAGAGGCAATCCGGGAAGTAAGCACATGTACTGGGGGTATTGCGCTAGCTCTCTCTCTCTCTCTCTCTCTCTCTCTCTCGCTCTCGCTCTCATCTTCTCCGTTTTTTTGTTTTACACACGCAACGCCTTGTATGTATTGCAACGAGGGGCCCCCATGTCTCCACATCGGTCGTTATGTTTAATAAGCGTCTGGCTCAGGTTAATGTTTCCCTGTTCTCGCTCTCTCTCTCTCTCTCTCTCTCTCTCTCTCTAACCAGTCATGGCGGCCTCCTCGGGAGATGACATCCCCACGCAGTTGGGTGCACTCCTGGGTAAAGAGACAGTGCGTGTCAGGAAAACAAACGAGCACCCCCCGCGGGTGTCTATCGTCGACGTGGCAATGGCAGTAACAGGGAAACCCCAGCACGACGCGGCCCAAGACTTTCGCCGCCTCTCAACTCAGTACCCCGAAGTGGGGGCAAATTGTTCCCACTACCGTTTTCCTGGCCGAGGGCAGAAGGATACACCCGTTGCCGATGTGAGGGGCATCGTGGAAATTGTGATGCTTCTGCCTGGGAAGCAAGCAGCCAGGGTACGACGGCAAGCGGCCGACCATCTTGCGCCTAGTGGCCGAGACTGCGTAACAGACATGCGCACCGGGATCATTTAACTATGTGCGTGACGGCGCGGATGGCAAATTTCCAGCAACGCTCGGATTCATGGTTCTGTGCGCGTGCGGAATTACACTCTACTACGGCCTCTCAGATGGGCGCCGGTCCCTCGCGAACTGGTGCACCGCTCCGGTTTCGAGGATCTGTGCGATTTACCGCAAGCCGTCGCGGGTTGGTCAACAGCCTTCAAAGGCGTTTCCGCTTCGTCCAAGCAGGGACATAGTTGGGATCCGTCTGGGAATCAAATTTCCCCCAGACGTTGTTCGCGATCCGTAGAGACTCGGCGCTGCGCTTCAAGCTTTTCCCCAGTTCCGTATCGGCCGCGCGTTCTTGAGTCTGTGTCACACACTTAGCGACGTCTGCGCCCTGACCACAACTGGTGCACACGAGGCAGGCGCTGCGGTAGGCCACTTTGCCGTTGCAGCGATCGACGATCTCCTCTCCGTTGACGACTGTGCGCTTTGTCACACTGGTGCAGAAGATCTGCTTGCCAGCGTGTGCGTGTTCGGGGCTGCAGAAGTGTTGTCCCAGCGGTGTACCAGCTGGCAATTCAGAATTGGTCTCGTAGCAACGGCGCGGGGCGTCTGCGTCCCAAATTTGCTGGAACTCCTCCAGCTCGTCTGGGGGCACCTGACACTCCATGGAGTAAAGTTTCTTTCTGGCTTCGGTGACAGTAGAGTATGGCCCTCGCCCCAGGTCGCTTCTCTTGGCGATGTTGGCGTACTGTCGGTAGAGCTTCAGGCATTTCCCCTTCTGCGCGGCCACCCCGCCCTGCTCGCCGAAGAGCTTGTGATACATCCGTGCGAAAACCAAGAGATCCGCGTCGTCACCTAATTGATGCGCCAGCCACTCCAGCTTGACTGTATCCTCCATCTGTCCATGTGTCACGTAGAACTTCGCAGGCTGGTGACTCGGGTGCACCTCGTACCGTGTCTCAACTCGACTGCCTCCGTCGAGAACGAAGCATGACTCGCAGCGCGCCTCGCCGCAGTTGCACACTTTCCTTGGCGCGCTGCCGCATAACGTGCACACCGCTGGTTGTGGCTTCGAGGACGGATTCTGCGCGAGTTGCCCCCCAGCAGCTGCTTCCGTGGACGGACCCGCGGCCGCATCAACATCAACGGCGGGATCGCCCCAGGCGTGCGCGTGCAGACACTCGGTGCAACGCACGACGCCACAGCTGCACTGCATCGTCTGCGCGCCTGCTCGACATTCGTCGCAGTGCTTGCTACCACAGTCACAAGGCCCCGCGCCGCAGACGTTGCACTCGTCCTTGCTCTCAGTCCATGTGTGCACGCCTTTCACCTCGTGGCACGTTTGAAGAAGCGACTGCTGCTGGTCCTGCTGCGTCGTGATGTCATTGGCGCACTGCTTGCAACGTACGCTGTCGCACTTGCCACACCTGGTGAAGCCTTGCTTGTACGAATCGGACTCCGCTTTGCCGCATGCCCCGCATGGGCCAAGCACACTTGGCGCGCACATCCTTTCCGTCAGGAACTGGTGCGTGCAATCTGCAAGGGCGATGGGCAACCCCGATCGCATGGCATCAAAGAGAGCCGGCAGCTGCTGCAGCTCTCCGCTTTGGATAAGAGGCTTTGCCTCAGGCATGATTGCGACCAGCTCGGCGTAGTTCTCTTCCTGGACTGCCACCACCACCTCTTCTGCGGTTGCTTCCACGTCACCCCACCCGAAGCGGCGCTGCGAGAACTTCGTGAAGGGGCGCACATACTCGACTTGCGCGACTACGGGGAGCTTTTGCAAGTTCAGGCACGTCACCGTCTTCATCCTGTTCTTCCAGTCCCGATACGCATTGCTGTTGACGTGGCCCTCAGTGACACAGAAATACACGGTGTCGCCGAAGCCAGTCACAGTTGCGAAGTTCACGAGTCCATGGTCAATGATGCGATTCTTACCGTACCGATGGAGGCCTGCGAGTAAGAGAGGCTGGTCCGCAGTCGGGCACTGCAGGCGGATCTCGTAAGTTCTTGGCCCCGCATCTTCTCTGGCGACTTCGCACTGCATCGGCACCACTGGCACGCGCTTCACACAGATTTCCTTCTTGAAGAGAAATACTGCAGCGAACAATTGCCGAAGGGCTGTTGACCCTGCGGGTTTTCCACAGGGCCACGTTGCCACCTACCTCAGGCTGGAAGGCCAGCCCAACTATTTTCTTCTTCATCGAGTGAAGAAAGAATTGTTAGTAGGGCCTCGTTGCCAGGGAGCGAGCCCAAGGAGCAGACAATCTGACAATCTCACCTACCCCAGGCTGGAAGGCCAGCCCAACTAATTTTTATTTCTTCATCGAGTGAAGAAAGAATTGTTAGTAGGGCCTCGTTGCCAGGGAGCGAGCCCAAGGAGCAGACAATCTGACAATCTCACCTACCTCAGGCTGGAAGGCCAGCCCAACTAATTTTTATTTCTTCATCGAGTGAATAAAGAATTGTTAGTAGGGCTTAGTAGGGCCTCGTTGCCAGGGAGCGAGCCCATGGAGCAGACAATCTGACAATCTCACCTACCTCAGGCTGGAAGGCCAGCCCAACTAATTTTTATTTCTTCATCGAGTGAAGAAAGAATTGTTAGTAGGGCTTAGTAGGGCCTCGTTGCCAGGGAGCGAGCCCAAGGAGCAGACAATCTGACAATCTCACCTACCTCAGGCTGGAAGGCCAGCCCAACTAATTTTTATTTCTTCATCGAGTGAAGAAAGAATTGTTAGTAGGGCTTAGTAGGGCCTCGTTGCCAGGGAGCGAGCCCAAGGAGCAGACAATCTGACAATCTCACCTACCTCAGGCTGGAAGGCCAGCCCAACTAATTTATATTTCTTCATCGAGTGAAGAAAGAATTGTTAGTAGGGCCACGTTGCCAGGGAGCGAGCCCGCGTACCAGGGGCATAAGGTGCAAGCAATATGAACAGCCTTCAAATACACATTCCTGGAGGTGCTGAAATGGTCGTTGTGATTTCGGTTTAACAAACATGGCAGCCGTTGCGTTCACCCAGCGGCCCTGGCGAATAACTCTGGGAGATGTCTGGCGCGGTCGGGGTCAGAAAAACACGCCTGTCTGTGACAGGCCCCCGAGGCCTACTGTCATGGACATGTTGGTTCGTGCGCGCGAATGAAGCAACAAAAACACGTGTTCGCGTACACTGGGGGTGGACAGCACCACCCACTCTCCCGATGGGGCCCACAGATGTATGCATCTAACGACTTTGTTCACACATGTATGCTGGCTGCATGCGCACATCGACAAATAGCACATCGAGCCTTTTTTCGCGTTCACGATATAGCGCGATCTCTGTGTCTTTGTATACGTGCAACACGGCGGCCAGCGGAAGGGAGGCTGTCACACATCTGCCGGAGGGCGGCCGCCTTTGCCGAGGGATCCTCGTGCTCCCGCTTGGCCTCGTCGGCAGCGAAAACGTCTGCACAGGACGTGCCCTCGCCCCAGCGCCACTTCGCGGGGTCGGCGCCTCCATGCTTCTGCTCCAGAGCCGCAAGGGATCTGAGCGCGTCGGCCAAATCGTGGCTGAGGTCGCGCGGCGTCGCTCCCAGGTGGGCCCAGGCTCGGTGCTCCTGCATGAGGGCCTCGTGATTGTCTGCGGCGCCGCCGCGCCAGCACCAAGTGCCTCCCCGCACCTCCGGGGCGAGAGCGTCCACGCAGTCGCGGACGGCTTGCTGGCCGATCTCGCGGGTCACTTTGGCGAGCGCCTTGGTGATTTCGCTCTCACCATTGCGCTCGATATCCTCCAGCGCGTCGACGTGCGGTTGGCGAATCACAGTTGCTCCCATGGGCCAGCCCAATGGCACAGCGAGTCGCGATCCCCACATGCAAGGACTGTTCTGGGCCATGCTCAGTTCGCGAAAGAGCTCACGTTTTCTGGCGTCGCTGATGCTTGAGCCATAATACAACGATGCTTGACTCCTGCAAAGGTGACGGTTTACAGCAGCGCAGCGGTAGCGTTTATCCTCTTGTCGCTTTTCTTTCAGGCGAGATTCGCCTGACACCCATGTGGGCGCCCCCCCCTTCCCGAAGTCTGAGTCGCACTGCACGAGAGCCACGGCGCGCTTAGATTTGCAGAACGGGCGGCAGTCCCACAGGGCGCGCTGAAGCCCTTGGTATCACAAGGGCCGGGTAACACGAGGGGCTGGTATCACAAGCCCTTGGTATCACAAGGGCCGGGTATCACAAGTGCGCATATCGCAGCTGCATCGCAACCTACATCGCAAACACCTCGTAAACCGAAGCCAACTGGACAAACCAGACCCACCCACCCGACATCTCTCTTGCCATCTTGCGCCTAGCGGCCGAGACTGCGTAACAGAAATGCGCACTGGGATCATATAT